CTTAGGGAGTGAATGACCACTTCCGTCTCAATTCAGATTACAAAACCTAATTCGTGAAGGGTCTGAGTGCTGCCAACTGAAATCACGTGTCACATGATATCAGAAAATCTTGTTTCTTTATGAACAGCTAGAGAATTGAAGAGAAATGTACTTATTCTTCAGAGATGTATTAAGAAATCTGATCTCGGGGCACTGGGGGGCTCAGGGGTGGAGCGTCTGTCTTCGGCCCAGGGCGTAACCCCAGGGTCCCAGGATCGAGTCCTGCATCGGGCTCCCCACAGGGGCCTGCTTCTCCCTCTGCGTCTCATGAATAAATAAATTAAATCTTTAAAAAAAAAAAGAAAGAAAGAAAGAAAGAAACCTGATCTCTATGCAAAGGATGAAGAGATACACTCAACTGTCTGTTAAGCAGTCTGAGGACAGGAGCGGCCCCTCTCTTACCCCCTATCTTTCCGCCCTGCCCACAGTCTGCTCTGTGCGTACTGATCTAGCACCTACGGCCTCGCGTGGCTTCCCTTGCCTCCTTGCTGTAGTTCCATATTCTTCCTAGTCAGGAGGCCCAGGAAAAAGGCCCACCCAATTATTTCCTTCCTGCACAATTTGGGAAAGGCCCGAACGTCTTAGGCAACAAAAGGATCCTATAGGTAAATGTTGACTGTATTGTAAAATGAAATAGCCCCGCCCCACTCCCCGTTCTGCATTATCTTTGTATCAAATTAGATTATAAATAGAGATCACGGATATAAGCATAGATTTATCTTCAAAATAAAAAAAAATTACTAGATGTCCAAAAATAAGGGATTAGCCAATTAAGTCATTGCACTAAAAATGATGTCACAGAAAAATATTTAATACATGTTTATGACATTAGGCCAAAGAGCAGAATACAAAAGCCACATGAGCAGAATTACCCCATTCTCGTGTCCCTTTTATAGGTTTATACTTAAATCTACATATAATATTTAAACGTATCTACAGAAACAACACAGCCAAGGCGATGGTAATTAACAAGCACTGGGGTTATGAACGATTTCTTTCCTCCTCTTCACTTACTGCACTTAAAGATTTTCTACAATGAGTTAGGTATTACTTTTATCATCAAACTTTAATGATAATTTTAAAACTAAAACTTCTTAACTCATTGACCAAGAACTCAGAATAGTTCATGCCACGGAACCTATTTGGGGCACGTAAGGCCGGAATGAGCAGCTCCCAACACGCTGCACTTGCGCTGCACAGGTACTCACAGGACTCATCTGAAGTGACGTTGGGGTAAAGATCACACTCCGAGTCAAGGACAACGGAGACGAGAAGTTGCTTTAACTCCACCGCACTGTTACGTTTAGCAGAGCCACGCTGTGACTTGTCCAAATTAAAAATATAGCCATGGTATCTGTGTGAGAAATAAATTCAAACAAATTTTTAAAGCACTGTAGTCACATTTTCGATGCATATGTGGCCGTGGACCCTGCAGCTGACCCCTCCAATCCCTGCTACCCAGACCTGGTCCAACGACAGGCTCTCACTCCAACTGCACATTGGATTTTCTGGGGGAGTTTTCTGAAAATAGGGCTGTCCAGACAGTCTCGGAATCTCTGAGAGTGGGATACAGGCACAGGAACTTGAGAAGTTACGCCCACACTTCCGAGTGCCTCATATGAAGTTGCTGTTAAGAACCAGTAATGGCAATCCCAACCCTCTTGGGTACCCAAGCCAATGATCACCAGCAGGAGGTGGGCCATCAGGGGTGCTGGGGGCAGAGGTTTCCCACACCAAGTGAGCCACAAGAGCCCCACTCTTCAGTACGTGACACCTGGACTGGTGGCAGCCACACTAAAAATGGCAGAGATGGCAGGAGCATGGATTTCCTAACGATACTGCTGAGCCACTGAGTCAACTAAAACCCTCTCTGATTCTGGACTTCCTCAAGTATGAGATAAAAGCTCTTCTTGCTTAAGCTTGATTCAGTCACAGTTCCTGTTATCTTCCCCAAAAAGCTAATATATAACCACCACTCCCCCCTCCAAGAGGTCATCAGCCCACAGAATTCTCAACAGGGCCTTAAAAATTTACCCAAGCACCCCAACAATTCAGCGATCTTAATTTTCTCCTGAATCTGCCAAAGTTTTCCCACGGGAAGGGCTCTCAGCCCCTTCATCCTTTCCACTCTCGCTGGTTAACTTCCATACGCTTCCAAACTCATTGGAACTTTCCTACTTCTCCTTACTTTTCTGGAAACACACAAGATGTTCTTACACATAAGTAGCATACACAACCTCTCTGGCTTATCAAAATCTATTTAAAATGTTATTTAAAGAATTACTTTGAAGCTTTATTTGGTCTTCTGATACTTTTAAATGTTGTTTTAATTTCCCCTTTCTCTGGTATGTGGGTACCAGACAGAAAATTAAGATCACTGAACTGCTGGGGTGCCTGGGTGGCTCAGTTAAGCATCCACCTTGGGCTCGGGTCGTGGTCCCAGGGGTCTGGGACGGAGACCCACGTTGGACTCTCTGCTCAGCAGGGAGTCTATTTCTCCCTCTCCTGCCACTCCACCTGCTAGGTGTGCACACACACTCTGTCAAATGAATAAAATCTTGAAAGAAAAAAAATAGATCACTAATTATAAACTCAGAAATGGCTAAGAAGGTAAACTTTATCGTCTATATATTTTACCACAGTGAAGCACATTAAAAAACAAACAAACAAACAAGGAAATTAAAGTTGCCAGCAGTTCTGAGATCTGACTTAGGTGCTGGCTTGTCCCAAATAAGGAAAACCTTTGTCCTGGGTATTAAAACTTCTAACCGAAAACTCAAAGGGTTCTAAAGCAGTGGTGTCCAGGGGTTAATTTTGCCTTTCAGGAGCTGAGGGAATGGAGCTATTCATTGTAAAAAAAAAAAAAAAAAAAAGATGTATGAGTGATGGATCCTGCTCTACAAGTTGAGGAAGCGATCACGCACCAGAGCAAACTCTCTGCTTGCAAAATGCATAGTATTTGAAAGCAGGGTCTGTGATGTAGGCTGGGCCCTTCGAAGACAGGAGCCTCTGACCTACCTAGGGCCTTAACTGCGTGCTCCCCAGCACCTAGTGCCTTGGGACATCCCTGTCATCCCTGCAGTCCACACCCATACTGACCCCTCTGAGTTCCTGGAATGCTCGTCTGAATACCTTCAGGTCCTAGGCGTCCCGGCTGATGCTTTATAACCTGCTTCCTAACAATGTAGGGTGTGATTAGCAACAGCTGCCTCACACACCAGGCACGAATTAGCCAAATTTCAGCTAATCACCCGCGCTGCCTCAAAATGCCAAGCCTTGTTTTTAAACCATCTCACAGCTGACTCGAGCCTCCGGCATCACACCATCAACTTGTCTCCCACACCTTCTTGCCACACTCCTCGTCGTTTTAAGCATATTCCTGATCCTTGTTTAACGGACGGTATGGCATAGAAGGAAAATACAATTTTACAGACCGAGTCCCAACACAAGTGTGTTCACCCTGTTTGCCTCTTAAAAAGATTTCCTTAAAAAAAAAAAAAAAAATTCCTAGCCACGATCTTCCTTCCAGACGACCTTTCTCCTTCTCAGTATCCCGAGGCAACCAGCCAGCTTGGGTTTACTACTTCACCCCGAGTCTGGCCACTGGATGGGGTTTAGCAGATTCAGTCCCAAAGGCTCATTGAAGCACGTGTCTAAGGTGGCCGTGTCCAGTGCAAAAGTGAAGGCGAGAAATAAGCCATGCAGGGTCTCTGCACCCCGACCTCACGTTCCAGGCCTATCTGGGCCAGCAGGTTCCTCTGGTTTCGCTTTTTTCTTTCCCCACCAGCTGCCTTCTGTCCTGCAGGGAAAACCACGCCGCAGTGCGCACTGGAAGGAGGCGCAACCTGGGGGAGCAAGGGCAGCTCGGGGAGCCCGGGGGCCTCCGCGGGGTCCGGGCTGCGGGGGGCGACGCGGCTGCGCGGGGGGCCGCGGGGCGGGGGCCCGAGCCCGGCCAGGGCGCCACACGGAGACCGATGGTTCCTTGGAGGGATTTCGGGGTGCGGGGCCCAGCCGAGCGCGGAGTCCCGGGGGCGCGGCTCTCCCCAGACCTCCTCCGGCGGCCCCCGAGCCCCCGGCGCCCAGGAGGCCCCTCCGAGCCCCCCCACCCCCCGCCCCGGCCCAGCCCCGGAGCGCTCACCGCCGGAAGGCTTCCTGCAGGAGGGCGCACGACGGGCCGGCGCTGGACGCGGGGTCGTGGGAGACGGAGAAGTTCTCGCGGGACACGTGCAGGGCGCGCGGGGTCGTCCGCACCGACAGCGGCAGAGGCCACAGCGCCGGGCCCGACGCGGCGGCGGAGCGAGGGGACAGCGCCGCCAGCAGCGCCAGCAGCGCCAGCAGCCCCAGCCCGCGGGGCCCCATGGCCGCCCTGCTGCGCGCGCTCGCTCGGTCCGTCCGTCGGTCGGTCGGCGCAGGTGCGCGCAGCCCGGGACCAGACCTCCAGCCCCAGCCCGGGGAGGAAGCGCCGGCGCCAGGGCGGAGGGGTCAGCTGACAGCGCGCGCCCCGCCCGGGCCCGCCCCGGGGCTGCTGGGCCCGCCCCCGCCCCTGCTCCCGCCCCAGGCCCCGCCCCCGCCAGGCCCAGGCCCCGGCGCCGCCACCGCCCCGGCCCTGCTCCTGCTCCCAGCTCCGCCCCCGCCCCCGCCCTCTCCGCCCAGGCCCCGCCCCCAGCCGAGCTCGGGGCCCGCCCCCGGCCCAGGCCCCGCCCCCGCCAGGCCCAGGCCCAGGCCCCGCCGCCACCGCCCCTGTCCCGCCCCCTGATCCAAGCCCCGCCGCCTGGTCCAAGCCCCGCCCCCGGTCCAAGCTCCGCCTCGCCACAGCCGGCCTCGGGCCCCGCCCCCGGTTCAAGCCCCGCCCAGGCCCCGCCCCTGGCCCAAGCTCCGGCCCCGCCCCCGATGCCCCGGCCCCGCCTCCGCCCCAGCCGGCCTGGGGCGGGGGGGGGGTGCGCCCACACAGGGGGGTCGGTGGCTCCGCCGCGTAGACGGTCCTCCCACCGCAGCTCAGCCCGAACTGAAGCCTCCCGGCGGACCCCCGCCCCCCGCCCCGGGCAGAGTTCGCAACAGGGGGCAGGTTAAAAGAGGCTGTTGGCCGAGGACGCCTGAAGCGCTTGAAGGACACCAGGGACCCAGGTAATTAGGCAGTTGATATAAAGAGGCAATAGGTTTTAACCAAGGATTAATATTATTGCCAGACTATTTTCAAGAAAACTAAAAACAGGACAATTACAAAAAAGAACAAAAACATGTCGAATACTTTATTGGCCTTATTAGACTGTTAAATAAGTCTGGTTCAAAGACAATTTAATAGAGCAAAGTTTAAGGACGCAAACTAGCTCTACAACTAGGAAGTGTGCTGCAATGACTCAGCCCTCACCATCTGACCGAGCGTGGAAACGCCCGTCCTCCAAAAAAAAAAAAGGAAGAAAGAAAGATTTCGTTTATAATGAATTCCTAAGAACAACTTAAATACTTATTGTGGCAGGCCCCTCTAAATATTTGGAGATAAAATAGTAGACCTAGAAGCAAGCAGAAACAATGTCACCAGACCCCGTGAGGATCAGATGTCCCCTCTCCCCCCCTTTCTCTCTCCTCTCCATATATGCCTCTATTTTTCAACTCAGTCTTTCTCCCTGTTGGCTTCATTGTCAGACAGGCCTCGTGATAGCCCTTTTCATGGGTAGCAGGAACAACCTGTCCAGGAAGCTTAGGTCCCCCACTCATCCCTATCATTCCTGATAAAGGATCCCAGTTGAAAAGCTCAATTTCACACCCACCCCTAAGGCGGACTGAGTGAAGTCACATGACCCACATGGAATGGAGGATGCTGATATTCCCCAAATTAAAAAGAAAACTACAGGGACACTTGGGTGCCTGAGCGGTTGAGCATCTGCCTTCGGCTCAGGTCATGATTCCTGGGGCCTGGAATCGAGTCCTGCATCGGCTTCCCAGCTGGGAGCTTGCTCCTCCCTCTGCCTCTCCTGAATAGATAAATAATCTGAAAAACAAAACAAAAGAACACCAGTCCCAAAACGGCATCACTTACGTTAAAGCCCTGAGTCAGTAAACCAAGACTTAATACCTAACCTAAATATGATTTCGACCCCCCAGGAATATAACCTTTAACCAGTCACCATGGGCTTTCCCAGTCAACATTAGGAAACTTAACTGATATACCCCATACACTCCTAAGGAGGGCAACCCTGCCTAACCAATGTATTCCTTGCTAATAAATGCTTTCCTTTTTTTTTTTTTTAAATGCCCTCTCTTGCTTTTAAAAACATTTGTCTTATTTAGCTCAGCAGAGCTCCCTTCTACTTGCTGGATGGGAATGCTGTCTGATTCATGAATCACTGAATAAAGCCAATTAGATCTTAAAATTTACTCAGTTGAATTTTGTTTTTTAACAGGGTGGTCTGTTACCAGAAGAAAGAGAAAGGGATGCTAGACAGGCCCAAACTGCATATCTACTACAGTAAGGATTTTCAAAATTTTGGCAAAGAGCTGTAAGAAAAGACTTCAAAGAAACTTTATGGGGCGTGCTTAAAATATACGTCTTCCATAAGACCAAGCATCAGTGGCACACTATTTTTCCCTTTTTTATAATTAATATAAATTTAATTTGCAGTATCCACCTTCACTGCCACTTTTTACTGTTAATTGAAGGCTAACAGTATAATTTATCCAAGATTCAATCTCCAATTCATATTGTTGCAATTACCATATCCTTAATGACAACTTTACCTTGTGTATTAGCTGTCTCTTGCTGCAACAAATTACTGCAAAACATAGCTTAAGACAGCAACAAATAGGGCAGCCCGAGTGGCTCAGCGGTTTAGTGCCGCCTTCAGCCCAGGGTGTGATCCTGGAGACCCGGGATTGAGTCACACGTCGGGCTCTCTGCATGGAGCCTGCTTCTCCCTCTGCTTGTGTCTCTGCCTCTCTCTATCTGTGTCTCTCATGAATAAATAAATAAAATCTTAAAAAAAAAAAAACAGCTACAAATGATAAGATGATAAATATCTCACCATTTCTGTGAATCAGGAAATCAGGAGTTTTGCTGCGTGATTCTGGCTCAGTCTCTCATGAGATTGCAATCATCCGAAGACATTTTTCTAAAGGCGTGGCTAATGCCGAAGATGTGAGTCTAAGCTGGCTGACACGGTCGTCGGCAAGAGACCCAAGTTACTTGCTGGCTGTTGGCTGAAGGCCTCAGTTACTTGCCACGTGAGTCTCTCCATGGGTTTATTGTGCTGCTGGCCTCCCCCAGACCAAGTGATCCAAAAGAGAACAAGAGCAAAGAGGAAGCTACGACACCTTTCCATGGCTTCGTCTTGTAGGTGACACTTCTGCAATATTCACGCTCACAGAGGTGTGTTGCTAACGACAGTCACATCCATGGGGAGAGAACTTAGGCTACACTTTTTGAAGGGAGGAGTCTACTCCCTGACCACAAATTACTTCTATTCCTTCCACATATAAAATATATTCCCTTCTTCCCAAGAAACCCCAATGTCTCATCCTTTTAGAACATTAGCTTGAAATCCAGAATGCTGGCATCTAAGTTAGTTCTAAGTATGGATGAGTCTCCTAAATGTATCCTTAAAATCCTTTAGTACAGTTTCTCTTGAACCTTGAACTACAGAACTCTCTTGAATAAATAAATAATCTGAGACAAGTACACTTGTAAAATACTATGGTGCAAAAGACCTGGGATAACCAGTATGGACAGTTCTATTCAAAAGAGGGAAAATGAGAAGCACCAAGGGGTCTATAGCAATTCCCAAAACCAGCCAGGCAAATTTTGGAGGTTCCTTGATTAGGATTCGAAGCCTGGAAATAATTCTCCAGGACTCTTGACTCCACTCTCTGGCTTTGGGTTCTACCTTCTGAGTCACAGTTTCTTGTTCACGGTAGTACATATTTGCAACCGACTAGCCCTCTCCACCTGTGGAACTTCGGAGTCCAAGGATGTCTTTTCTCCTGGCACTGCCCCTATTTCTCAGTTCAGACTGGAGGCATTTCTGCTGATGTATTTCTGTTAAAAACCATTGATTCCCTGTGAATCTGACTAAGGCTCATGCCATTACACAAAAGTTATGCCCACCAATTTCTTTAAGGTACGCACTTCTCTACTTTGGGCTTCTGCTGAGAATGGCATCCTTGGAAACCCTATTGTCTTATTGAAACATACCTTTAAAATATTTAGATGTCAGGCATCCCTTAAAATATTTAGATGACCGGTACGCCTGGGTGGCTCAGCCGTTGAGCGTCTGCCTTCGGCTCAGGGCGTGGTCCCAGAATCCAGGATGGAGTCCCACATCGGGCTCTCCTTGCGGGGAGGCTCCTTCTCCCTCTGCCTATGTCTCTGCCTCTATCTACAATAAATAAATAAATAAATAAATAAATAAATAAATAAATAAATAAATAAATAAAATCTTTATATATATATATATTTATATGTATATATATATATGATATATGTATATGAGAGAGAGCATGAATAGAGGGAGGGGCAGAGGGAGAGGGAGAAGCAGACTCTCAGCTGAGCAGGAAGCCCAATGCAGGGCTGGATCCCAGTACCCTGAGGTCATGACCTGAGCCAAAGGCAGATGCTTAACCCACTGAGCCACCCAAATGCCCCTGAAAATTTGAAAATTATAAAAAACGATTAAGTCTTGGCAGCGAGATGTTTACCAGTCCTTCCTTTCCTTTATCTTGTTCCTTTTACATTTTAGTACAGCAGAAAGATGAAGCTTGGAGGCACCTTGAATACTCTAGCTGGAAATCTTCATTAGTAGGCACATCTTCCTGTAGGCCAGTGCGTTGCTGGCTTCCTGCCAGGGTGACGAGGATCACATCATCTCCAGGCTCCAGCAAGAGTTTTCTCGCTCTCCTTAGTGTAACCGAGCCTCCTCAGGTCTATATCCTTCTACTAACAGTCTTTTCAAGGCAGGTCATGATTTCACTAATACTGTCTTCAAAATCATTCCAGCTTTTGTCCCCTGCCTGAGTCCAAGAGCACTCCTGCATTTTAGGTGTGCGTTATGGCTGCACCTGACTTCCAGGGATCAAAATAGTTGTTTTTAACCTATTGCTGTCTGACACATTAACAACACTTAAAAGATGTATACAAACACAATTTTGATAGATGGTGCCAAGTTTTTCTCCAAAATAGGTAGCAGTGTAGGAGAATTTCCATTTCCCCACAACTTCATATCACAATGTTGTTAATCTTTCCCAATTTGAAAGCATGTTTTAATTTGTGCTTCCTTGATTACTCATGAAGTTGAATAAAATGACCATTTTATATATTCTTCCAGTAAGAGCTTTTTTTCATATCCCTTGGGTTTTCTTTCTTTAATGATTTGTGTGAATGTTTTAAAAATTATGGACAGTAATCTCTACAGTATATTGCAAAAATGTTCTACCAGTCCCTCCATTTTCTTTTGTCTTTATGTGACATTTTGTCTTAAAGTGGTTTTAACTATTTTTGAGCTCTTATTTTTCAGGCAGCCTGGGTGGCTTAGCGATTTAGTGCCACCTTCAGCTCAGGTCATGATCCTGGGGTCCCGGGATTGAGTTAAGCTCCCTGCATGGAGCCTGCTTCTCCCTCTGTCTGTGTCTCTGCGTCTCTCTCTCTCTGTCTCTCATGAATAAATAAATAAAATCGTAAAAAAAAAAAAAAGATTGAGCTCTTATTTTTCAATTTTCCTTTTATGGCTTTAAGACTTGTCTTGATTAGAATTCAAAGATGATACAAATTCTCCTATTTTCTTCTAATGCTTCTACAGTTTCCTTTTTGAAGTATATACTTTACTCCAACTGATATTTACTTTTGTGCATAGTTGAGGTAAGGCTGTAAATTTTTTCCCACCCTGATGGATAGCCAGTTGTCAAAATGCCATTTATTGAATAGGCTATTCTTTCTTCACTGATTTAAAACACTTTCTAAGGGGATCCCTGGGTGGCGCAGTGGTTTAGCGCCTGCCTTTGGCCCAGGGCGCGATCCTGGAGACCCGGGATCAAATCCCACGTCAGGCTCCCGGTGTATGGAGCCTGCTTCTCCCTCTGCCTGTGTCTCTGCCTCTCTCTCTCTCACTGTGTGCCTATCATAGATTAAAAAAAAAAAAAACACTTTCTATGCTTTATTTTAAATTTTCATAGAGATATGTAATTCTAAGGATTTCTGTTCTGTTGGCCTATGTATCTTTTCCTGGTCCAAGTGCTAAGCTATCAATGTTATAATATTTAAAATCACTGTAATTTTGAATAGTGCTTTGATATCTCTAAGGACGTACACAAACACTGTTCTTATTTCTAAAATTTCTGGGCATTTTAAAATCATATGTCCTTCCACTTCCACATTAACTTAAAGACTTGATTGCTGAAATAAAAAAGACTTGATTGCCAACGTTCAGAAAAGTTGTCGAATATTATTAGAATGGCATAGATTCTGTATATGAACTGGGGGAGAACTGTCATCATTGAGTCTGCTCACTTAGAAATAATTCCCTTAATTTATAAAGTTTTTATGCTTGTCACCAAAGTCTCATAGATGACTTTACATGGACTTTCTTATTTCTTATTTCTTAGGCATGCTCCTACGTCTTTCATTTTTTTGTTGATTATAGAATTCCTCCCCCAGTCCACCCCAGAAATGACAAAAGAATGAAGTAGAGCTTTAGGCCATTGGCCTGGAAAGATCTTTCCACTGACTACTTATACCACCAGCCTCATTTCCACCTCAACCAGCGTGGAAACATTTGCTCAAATCTTTGTAAAATATAAACTAGGTCATGCTACTTCCTTCCTCAAAACATATCAATGGCTCGTTTCCTCCTGCCCAGAGAACAAAATACAATGTTCCTTCCCATGATTCACACAGTGGCACAGGATCTGTCTGCCCAGCTCTCTGATCACAGCACTTCCTCCGTGGATGACCCTGCTCCGGGCGCTCTGACTTTCGGTGACTTCCAGTCCTTGAGCTTTAAAGCCTCTCTCCCAGCCTGACCTAAGACGTTAGCAAAATGGAGAAGAGAAACAGAACTAGCACAGCCTCTTATATCCTGGGCCGAGCATATTTGCATGTACTGCTTGACAGAGACATTCTCTTCGACTCAACTTGGGTCAAGCCTTTCTGAGCCCTCTTCCTGACCAGCAGAACCCAGTCCCAGCAAGACTCTTACTGAGTCTGTTCCTCGAGTCTCCCCCCAGCTTCCATACCCCATCACCTTGGCCTCCTCTAACAACAACCCTCTTAGGCCGTCTAGCAAGCATCTGCCCTACTGCAGAGGTTTCCTTTCAGTAACTTTCCATCCACTGACATCCCCCAGCCCAACTCCGCTCATTGGCTATAAACCCCCAGCTGTCTTTGTTGTATTCAGAGTTGATCCCAATCTCCCCCCCCCCACCTTTTTTTTTTTTTAATTTTAAGTAGGCTTCATGCCCATTGTGGGACTTGAACTCAACGTCCCTGAGATCAAGAGTCGCATGTTCTATCCACTGAACCAGCCAGGCACCCCCTCTTGGTAGTCTTAACACCTATTGTGATGGTCTTGAATTAAGTCTTCCTTCCTTTTTAAAAAAGATATTATTTATTTAATCATGAGAGAGGCAGAGACCTAGGCAGAGGCTCCCTGCAGGGAGCCCGATGTGGGACTCCATCCCGGGACCCCGGGGTCACGCCCTGAGCCAAAGGCAGATGCTCAACCACTGAGCCACCCAGGCGTCCCTTCCTTCCCATTTTAACAAATGCCAGAAAAATTCTTTCTTTAAAACAAGCTTATTTAGATACTATTTGTGGATCGATGAGCCGTGGGGACTGAGGGGGAAAGAGGCATTCGGGAAATTTATATTTCTCACTCAGCCTGGTGGGCAATTTATTCGTCATTCAAGGCTTAGTTTGTGAGGAGCAGGATCCACTCCAGGCCGCCGTAGCAGCATCAGCCACAGGGTGTCGGGTGCAGGCTATGAACTCAGGAGTGTGACTCACTCAGGCCTGTGAGAGCCCACAGCCACTCGCGGCCGAAGTCCCTCGGGCGACTGCTCCTGTGGGACTAGAAAGCCGGGCGCCCCGTGCAGAAGCCCGTGCTACAGCTGTAGCCTGGAGTCGCACCGGCTCAGCTCCCAGCGGTGCCAGGAAAGGGGGTCCTGGGGCGCCGTCTCTGTCACTTAATCACTTGTGATTTCAGCTTGGTCAGCACGTGGACCTCAGAGCAAGGGGAGTCCCCAGCTTCCCTGCTGCAGGCGCCCCACGTCCTGGAGGGTCACAGCAGTCACCGCGCATTGCAGAAGACCTGCCTTAGCAGCAGTTTCCACTGACTGAAGGAAATTCAAAGAGGACTTTCACTTTTGTGGAAAAAAAAAGGCAGCGGGGTGTGGGGGGCACCTCCTTCCCAGGACCACACTCAGCATCTGAGCCTCAGGCTGCCCGGCCTTTGGACCACCACTGAGCCCCTGCGCTTGGTCTTCACGTGTCATTAGCGACGCATGTCTTCCGGTATCAGAAAAGGTAAAAGAGGTTATTTTGGGGGTCTGGGAAGGCTCAGCATTTTTTCCACGTGAGTTAAGGGTCATCGCTTCTTGGCTTCATGCCACCTGGGCCCGTGACAGTCTTGACTGGAGTGCTCTGCCTTCGGGCCAGGAAAGGCCTGTGCGGGGCTGGAGCGGGGGTGCGGGGTGGGAGGGTAAGGCACCCCCAGAAGCTGATGCACTTGACTGAGGGGGACAGACAGCCTGGCCTGGTCAGCCCCCGCCCCCGAGGAAGCAGGACCGCTCTGACCCTGGCCCTGCATGGCCCCCTGACGGCACTTCTCGGCTCTCCACGCACAGCCTTGGTCCTAAAGCATGTGGGGTTTGGGCGCCGCGACCCCGGGAACGGGCCTGAGCCGGGTCTGGCCTGTGAGTGTGGCCCTGGCGCTCCCGCTCTGGCCACAGCAGGCGTCCGGGCCTGGCCAGCCCCTCCAGCCCAGTGTGTGACCTGGGGGGTCCCGGGATCGAGTTCCACGTCAGGCTCCCTGCGTGGAGCCTGCTTCTCCCTCTGCCTGGGTCTGTGCCTCTCTCTCTGGGTCTCTCATGAATAAATAAATAAAAATCTAAAAAAAAAAAGAAAGGTGCACTGGTTGGATAAGGGAGCTGTGGCTGCCGGAGAGCCGCCCCATTTGAGCAAGGGGTGCAGCCTAAGTGGCCCACAGGTACACCACGGGCAGGGGGACGAAGACCTGGTCACCACACCCAACAGTTCACGACATCGTGAGGCCAGAGGGGGTGAGGGTGCGGGCCGTGGCCCGAGAGCAAGCAGCACATCCGCAGGGACAGCTGAAAGAGCTCAGATCCCAGCGTCCCCAGGAGCAAAGCACACGAGGGCCTGGGTGAGAAGAGAGGCAGGGACAATATAGTCAGGGAGTGGCCACTGCCTGGGCCTTCCGAGGTGCCAGACTACACGTGAGAGGAAAATACGTTCCTTGTATCTGCGGAGGAAGCCCCAGCACCCGACTGTAGAGAGACAGAGTCTGAGGACCAGGAAGCAGCTCTGATATCCAGGGGTCACAACCTCCTCGTGCACCAGGCTCACCTTGGGAGTTGGTGGTTGAGCTTCAGCCCAGATCCATTTTCTTTAAAGATTACTTATATATTTATTTGACAGAGATGGGAAGAGCGAGCACAGGAGGGGAGCAGCAGAGGCAGAGGGAGAAGTAGGCTCCCGGTTGAGCGGGATCGGGGCCCCATCCCGGAGCTCGGGGTCATGACCTGAGCTGAAGGCAGCTGCTCAACCGCAGAGCCACTCAGGCGCCCCTGCCCAGATCTGTCCGGTGAGAACTAGCAGGAGTAAGGCAAGGTGACTTTTCTTTACAAGTTTATATAGTGTAAGTGACATATAATAAACCGCGTATACGTATTTAAAGTATACAGTTTGGTAGGTTTTATGTGTGTGACAGCGGAGCCATCACCACATCAAGATAACGGAATGATCCATCACCCCCAAATGTCTCCTCTAGTCCTTTTGCGCTCCCTTCCTCCTCCCTCCCCTCCCCACTCAGCTCGCCCACCCCACCCAGACAACGACGGCTGATCAGCTCCCTATCACCACGGATCGGTTGGAATTGTCTAGAATATCATAGAAATAAAGCCACACAGTTTGTCCTCTTCTTTGATCTTACTGTTTTCACTCAGCATAATTATTTTGAGATTCGTGTGGCGTGTGTCCCTCTTCATTCCCATGAACTGTTGAGTCATACTCCACCGGATACACCACAAATGGCTTTTCCCCTTCACCAGGTGATGGACCTTTGGGTCGCTTCTAGTCCTCCAGAGATTTGGCGGAGGTGAGGTCACATCTGGGTAGGATGAACCAGAAGACAGGGAGTCTACCGGCCTGGAGCACTTTGGTGGGGATGCTCTTGTGGCACCCTTGTCCCTGCTTACAGCTGGCGTTTTGTCATCAGTGTGGCCGCATGGCCTTGAGCCTGAAGGACAGCAAGTCAATGTCTTCCACGGTCACAGCAGCAGCCCCCGGGGTAGTTCCTTGTTGACCTGGGCTCCAGCCCATCACACTTTGCGGCCCCTGCTACTTTCCCATCCTTCTCCCTCGTCCCCTATGTCCCTCATCTCCAGCCAAGCCCAGAT